GACTTGGGTCAAAAAGACACAACTGCTTTTCATATCTGCCACAGTGCTGCTAGCAAAAAAATTAAATATTTTTTACTCAATGTGATAAACAGATACTATGACTGAGAAATTTAGATTGAATAATTATCTCTAAAATGTCCTGTTTTTATCTTTTCTCACACAGGAGTCAGTTTGGCAGCAAAATCTTAAAGCTATCTTCTCCATTCTGGTGAAGAATTCAGTTGTCTTGAGTTACAACCTAGGAACAGATGCAGGGTCATATATTTTAGACAAATATAGTTAGATGATGATCTGTCATCAAAAATTCTGAATGCTGAAATTCCTTTAATAATTATTACATGGTAATCTAATAAAATATTGCCATTCTTTCTTCCAGCTATTCACCTGCACCCATCTGCTTGAGGATACATGCAGCCTATGCTACATTAACTAGCAGAAAATGTTCATGTTTTCATGGACTAGAGGCGGATAATTTGAAGAGTATATCTACACTTGTGATATGCTCGATATCATTTTTGATCCCAGTAATAACCATACCATCTCTAACTGGTGTTACCTTGATTTTCAAACAAGACAGAATTAGATGGTGTATGATAAACAGCATGTAGTAGGCATTATTTACTATTATATCATTTCTATTATATTAAATTTTTAACCAGTCTATTTAGAATAAACATTTATTTCCATTTAACAGCCTCAAACAGAATAATTTTCTGTGCTGTTGAAATTCCTATAATCTCCCATTAAGAGGGACACAGTGGTTGCTATTGATTTCAAACTTAAATTTGTAAAGAATTCATTATACTACTGGTTTTGTCTGTCAACTTGAGAAAAGCTACAGTAAACAGAAAGGAAGGAAACTCACTTGAGGAAATGCCACCATGAGAGCCAACTGTAAGGCATTTTCTCAATTAGTTATCAATGGGGGAGGGCCTAGCCCATATTGGGTGCTGCCATTATTGGTTTTGTGATCCTATGTTCTATAAGAATGTGGGCTAAGCAAGTCACATGGGAAGCAAAACAGTAAGCAGCTCTCCTCCATGGTGTCTGGATCAGCTCCTGCCTTCAGGATCCTGCCCTGTATGAGTGTCTGTCCTGACTTCCTTCAGTGATGAACAGCAATGCTGAAGTATAAGGCTAATACACCCTTACCTCTCCACCTTGTCTTTTGGTCCTGGTGCTTCATTGCAGTGACAAAAATCCTAACTAAGGCAAATTGGTACCAAGCGTGGAGTTTTGAGGTGCCAGATCTGACCATGTTTTGTGGAGGATTGTGAAAGGAGTTTGGTACATTGGACTAGAAGAACCATTGAGTGTTATGAGCTCAGTGGGATATTCTTTAGGAGCTTGGAAGATAAGAATGTTAAGAACAGTGCAGAAGATGGGAACCTGGCTTGAAAAATTTCAGAGGAAAGCTTAAAGACTCTATTGGTGCCATTTGTTATTTTGAATTACGATCTTATGGCTCTGGTTAGCTGCTGCTGAAGAATCAACTGTGACTAACAAGATACCAGAACTACTAAAGTGATACCTTCATATTACTGAGACAATTGATGCTGGTTAGTGAGAGTTAAGAAATCAACACTATTAAAAAGAAACCAGCATTAACAGGCGAAATCTTGTGGAAAGTGTATCCTGAGAGTACAAAGATGCTGTGTTCCAAGGGCGACCAAGGTTGTATCTTGTGTTGGCAACCAGACTAGTTAATGTGTAAATATTACTCACCTGAAACTAGGTTTGAAGGCATGAAGGTGTCATGGAGGGCAGCTGAGACTTAGCACTTTAAACCTATTAAAGTTACAGAAACACAGGGCATTCCATAAATTCCATAACCTTGCTGCCTAAAAGAACAATCCTTTCTCAGTGCTAAGGGGCCATTTGTAAGATAACTGGAAAATTTCAAGATAGTGAAAAATGAAAAAAAAGAAAATGAAGATGGACAAATTTTTACATGATCCAAAGAAATAAGGATATTGATAATGAGCTATATTTAATTTACTTACAAACGACTAAAATTTAAAACTTAATGAAAAAATCTGTGCTATCAATTTTTCTCTGACTTCTCTGTTATTTTCAGTTTCTAAGCAGTGTAAAGAGAGTCTTTGTATCACAGTAACTCATAAACAATGGGGATATCTATGCTAATTTCTCAGATAAATCCATCAGTATTAGAAAATTGATGGTGGTGGGGGGCTGGGAGGGTTATCACACAGATCCAGTATTTGGGAAAAAATAGTAAAACTCATATCAGAAATTAATGAAATAGAAACAAAGAAAATGATACAAAGAATAAATACACTTAAGAGCCAGTTCTTTGAGGACATCCTAAGTAATTCAAGATACTCACTAGTTCATTTGTGGAATGGTAATGTTAGTGTCTTATTTAAATTGTGAAATTAATATTTAAACTAAAAGAGCTTTTAAACTTAAAGCAGAGTTCCAGAAAGCAGATTATAGTACCTTAGGTTTCAGAATATTGCAGAGTGAATTGGTCATGCTCATTTGAGGTCTTAGTCTTAATAGTATCAAGGAACTTTGTCTATCTTGTCCATTGCTGAATGACTAAGTATTCATTTGGATACTATGTGTGATGACATAATGCCAGGTACTCAAGCTGTGTATGTTTATTAACTAGACAAACATGAATCCTATTCTCATGCAATAAACTCATTAAAAAAGCAGATAGAGTTCATAACCAGGGAGTCTACATGGAACTGACCTAGACACATTGTATGTATTTTACAGTAATATAGTTTAGGTTTCTTGTGGCACTCCTCTTATTGGTTCACCTTACCCAACCTTAATACATGAGGATGTAAAACTTAATGTGACATATTTTGTTGATATTCATGTGAGACCTGCCCTTTCATGAACATAAACACAAGAGGGTTGGATTGGGGGTGGAAACAGAGGGGATGTAGGGGGAGGACAAGGAGGAGAGGAGAGAGGGGAAACTGCTGCCAGGGTGTAAAATAAATAAACAAAGTCACTCTACATATAAATGGTAAAGGGTTGAGACAGACATCAGCAAATGAACACCCTTCACAATATCCATAAATAATATAAAATATCTTAGTGTAACTCTATCTAAGTTAGTGAATAGACCTGTATAATAAGAACTTCAAATCTGTTTTGCCCATTAGCTCAGGCTTCTTATTAACTCTTATGACTTTCATTAGCCCATTATTCTTATCTGTGTTAGCCACATGGCTCAGTACCTTTATCAGGGGCATAGTCACATCTTGCTTCTTCTGTGTTGGACAGAACTGCAGAGGGAGTTTCCCTCTTCCCAGAATTCTCTTATTTTCATTGACCTGCTTCTATTTCGTATTTATTGTTCCGCCTCTACTTCCTGCCTGGCTACTGGCCAATCAGCGTTTATGTAAAACATAATTGACAGAATATAGACAATTGTCCTGCACCAGATACCCAGAAATACTGCTCTTATGCATATACTTAAAGGACACTCAGTCATGCCACAAGAACACTTGCTCAGCTATGTTCATAGAAGCTTTGTGTCCAGCCATTTTGTTCTTAGCTATCCACAACTTCTATCTGTACATCCTGATTAGTTTTCTCCAAAGAACATTTGATTGTTTACTTATGTTTTTTGTTATTTCTAATAGACAGTTCTGAAAAAAAAAGTCCCAGAGAAAATAATTAAATACTTAGTACTTGGTTCTGGAGGTTCTTAAGCAAAATAACATATAAGACAAATTATTCTGAGAAATCAAAATTATTTGAATAAGTTTTTTTCTGTTATCTCTTGATCTTAGTCTTTAAAATATCTTTTGGCCCTCAATTGGAGGGAGCAGGAAGCATTTTTAAAGGTATCTTAGATTATTCCTCATGAGAATAAATGTTTATTTCATTGTCAATACAGAAGGTAACGAGTCATGTGGCTAATATATACTAGAATAATGGGTTAATATATGCTATAAGAGCTAATAAGAAGCCTGAGCTAATGGGATAATTAGTTTTATAACTTATGTAGACCTTCTGTGTGATACTTTGGGACCTAAAGACTGTGGGAACTGGTCAAGACAAAAACCCCAAGAAGGAGGGACCAATGTTACAACAAAGTCCTAGAAAGTAAAGAGATTGGATGTAAGTCTTTGAATCAGTTCACAATTCTTTCTCACATGCATTTATTTTCATGTTTTGTTTGCATAAAAGTATCAAATGCATCATCAGGTAATATCTCAACTTGAAGGTTCATCCATGTTGCTTTCTTTAGAGAAAAAAGAAAAGATGGGAGTAAGAAGGAAAGAGGAATAGAAAGAGAGGGGAGGGATAGGGAGAAAAAAATGAAAGAAAGAAAAAGAAGGAAGGAAAGTAGGAAGGAAAGAAGCAAGCATATTTGTGTTGACAAGAAGGTGTGCAAGATCTGGGAGGAGTTGAAGGGGTATAAACAAACCTACGATACACAGAATTTTAAAATAAATTTTATTAAATGTTCAACAACCTTATCCACCAGAAAAATGCAAAGTTTAAAAGGAAGAGGACTGTTAAGTTATTTTTATTGCTAGCACATCAGGGTCTCTCCATGAAGGAAGAGATTATTGTAGTGGTACAGTAATACTCTCTCTTAACTCTTGTTCACTGGTCAATTTTATAGTAGTACAATAGTCAATTTGTACTATAATAGCACTAATTTGGATGTTTGGGTTTTGTTTATTATTTTTCTGTTTGCAAACCTAAACTATTAACATTACTCACTGACAATCCTAATAACTACAATCAAAATTGCATTAGTATTTGTCCAGTTTCTTTTATTTCAGAACTTTTAAAATGGTGAAAGTTTAACTAGATGAGAACCTACTTATTGCCATATCTATATAATTTTTACCTTGACAAAAAAAAAATAAAACCAGTTCATTTCTCAAATCTAGAGTTTTCTTTATTTTAAGAGTATGTTCCATGAACAACCATTATAAAACTTATTTGTCAGTCTCTGAGGCACAACTTTCATACTAATAGTCAGCATTTTGTATTTATAGGTATGAACATAAGCAAAAGCGAGATAACAACAGAAGCTTCATTGAAACCATCGCGGAGATCCCTGCCTTGCCTGGCCCATAGCTATGCTCACTCAAAAAGCTTGAGCCAATCTGCCTCACTCTTTCAGTCAACTGAGAGTGAATCTCAGGCTCCAACTTCTGTAACATTTCTTTCTACGGATAAACCTGACCATGGTGAGTGATAGTTCAAATTATTTTCTGTTAAGTTTTTTTTAAATATGGCATTTTAATAATTACTTCCTTTATGCTTTGCTACATTTGACTGATAGTTACTTAACTCTTTAGGGATGAGTCTGTCAAAAGTAGGAGATCAGTACACTATATGGGTCAACAGGAAAGGCCTGTTGGCTAGATATGTGTTTATTTCTGTCTTGCTTTACAGGTCGTCTACCCATGGGAATCTTAACTTTATATAAAGGGTGTGTTAAATTAAAGATAAAGCCAGCTCATATAGTTCCTATTTTATATCCCTATTATTAGACCATCCCAGGCAATAATTTACAGACTGTATTAAGTAATGTGTCAGCAATAAATAATTCTATTTCCCTATAAAAACCCACCAGAAAAAGCAGAAAAAGATCCTACATAAAAAACAAAAAATCTTTACATGAGAACAAAATCTCAGGGCAGATTAAATTTTGCTAGTAAAAACAGATAATTGAACAGTAATAATGAAAAATATCTAGTATTTATTTAATAAATTATCAGCTCTTCAGCATAAACAAAAGAGAAAGAAAATTTACATGTTGTCTTAAAAAAACAGAAAAAAGTCACAAACACATCCCAAAATACAAGCAATTAGTACAAGCTTTTAAATTTTAATACTAAATATAAATGATCTTAATTCTGAAATAACGGTATAGATTGACTGGCTCATTAGAATAGAAATTGAGATCTAGTACTTCCTGTTATTAGGTGACTCACACCTATTGTCATATAAACTCATACTGGATTAATAAACAAAATATGACCTATATTCACAATGGAATATTATATGACCTAATTTCACAATGGAATATTATCTATCAAGAAAGAGAAAAAAATGCTTGTCACTGCACATGGAGATGATCATGTGAAGTGAAAAATTCCAGACTCAGGGAGAAATAAAATATGCTTTGAATCTAGTGTGTGGGGGACAAGTCAAGAAAACAAGGTCAAGGCCAGACTATTAGAGAATAATCAAAGGATCAGTAAGAGGCAGAAAGGGAAAAGAGGGAGATGGGAGGGCCATGATATTAGGAATTCAGGAATGTAAGAAAATTTCACAATGAATCCTTTTGTTATGGAATTAATATATTTAAAATAAGAAACACAAACTGTTTAATTCATAGTGATGCCAATACAGTAAGGTTGATTATTGAGGATGAAGTAGTGTTGACAACATAACAGGGGTGAAATGTACAGGCTTTACCCAAATGATGCCATATTGAAGAAATTTGGGGCAGAGAAACTCTTTTTTTATACATTCATCCATGTAAGACACATCATATGCCTTTAGACACCTTGTGTTCATAAAATCGAATCACTCTCTGTCATACAATAGGTGTTTATATTTTATCATTTTCCTCTTGATGTTTATCTTATGAAAATGTATTCCATTAAGAGTCCCTTTAATTCCTTCTTCTCCTGAGTAACTTAGAAATCCTAATGTTTTCTTTTTAATAATACAGTCAACTTAGTCATTTATAATAGTGTTAATTGTTCAAGAGAATGAACATGTTAAAATGTAACAGGTGGTGTTTGGTTGAAAGTTAGTTTTAACTATGGTTTAAATAAAATTTATATTTCAATACATTAACTTAAAACATTTCTGTGTCATTGAATATCATTTTGAAGTTGGATATTATAGTAATTTTTATAGTTATGTATAAACTATACAAAGTTTTGTATAGTTTTGTATAACACTATCACAAAGTGTTTTTGTTTTTCAGAAGAGAATAAAAAAGATTCTACCCTCAAATGTTCCTTTTCTGACTTCAGTGAGTTTTGCTTGGGTGAGTAAATTTCCAATATATTTTTTTCTCTCCAAAAATAAAGAATATTCTTCAAATCTAGAACAATTTTGTATAAATGTTTCACTTTTGCTCTTTAGAACTTGAGTAGTGAATATAAAAATCTGCATTTTATAGTTATTAATTGATTTATTATACAATTTAAAACTCAAAAATTATGAGAAGACTGTAATGAATAATACTATAAGAAAATGTCAGTGATTTTAATTTTAACTTCTTATGAAATTTTTCCATTTCACACAAATGAGTACGTTTACATTGATATGGTGAAATGTACCAGATTTTGCCACTGAATATTTTTCATGCCAATAAAAGTTGAAAGATATGTCTTGTTTCTCCATCAGTGGATAATATATATGGGTAATATATATTAGTAGATAATATATGTGGATAAAATGTATATTTGTATTTTTTCCTATAAAGTTCAAAATGAATCTATTTATAACTACCAAAATGATCATGAGTTTTCTTTATGAAAATACTGATGATGTGTCTACATTGTCTATCTATTAAATGTGAACAGATTATAGACTCCTGGGAGCTTTTGAAAGTCTCTGATCTTACCAGTAACTCATGATCAGATTTAATTTATCTAGGAGGTGACATGAATATTCATTCTTTCTGTTATTTTCTGGATAAACATAAAGTGGTCAAGAATAAAAATGTCTAATCCAATATTTTTATCATGTTCTAATTTTTTAAGACATCATCAAGACATTTCAATCTTTCCAGTCCCTTGAGTGTTGTTGTGACAACATTCTGAGAACTACAAATTAATCATGTTTTAATAAGACCTTTATAACCTGTATGGCATAAAAAGAGGGCTAGCTTATTTATTTCCTAATTAAAATATTGTGTGGTTAATTTCACATAAATCATCAAAAGGAACATTTAATCAGAGCAAAAGAAAACTCTTTGCTACTGTATCTCATTTTGTAGCATGATCTTCAGTCACTTATTTTCTGAAAACAAAACAACATGAAAATACTTGGTTGCCTTTGTTCAACACAGTCAATGAAGTTTTTATTAAATTTTCACTAATTTAGTTCCACTTAATACTTTAACAATTATGCCAGGGTCAAACACTCTCATTACAATTCTACAGATCTTATTTGTGAAAATTCTTATTCCAAATTAACCACAATTTTTGATACATGCTAAATTGTAAGAAACAGTATTGGTGGGTCTCAATTCATCTGATGTTTATTGACATCTTTCTACTTGTCCAGCCTAACAACTGAACACTTGATATTTTAAAAATTGTCAGTCTTTCAATATCCATTCATGTTTAAAAAAAAGAATAAAACTTCCATAAAATTATAAGCATGTGTGCACCCATGTGCGCGTGCGCACAAACACACACACAGAGATTTGAGTATATAATCTTTAAGTCTGTAACTTCAGTATTTAGTGTGCTGTAGCAGATTACAGATCTCAGGCTAATCTGAGCTCATAGCAAGACTGACCTTAAAAGGAATGAAAAAAACTAAAGTTAATTAACTCATTTCAATTTTCACAAACCATATTTAAGTGGAAAACTGCCATTATAAGAAACTTTGCTAATATCTATGTGATTATAATAATGTGAAACACACACATAATCTATGTGGATGTAGCTTCTAGTTAACAGATTCTTTTATCACTTTTCTCTGAGAAGGTTCTATTTGCAGTAGATGGTGACTACTTCTCCAGCTGCTATGATAACTATCGTGATTAAAACAACTTAAGGAAGGAGGATCCATTTAGGCTCACAGTGCAAGTTGATCCACCATAGTAGAGACATCATGGAGTCCAGAGCCTGAGGCAAACGGTCAGTTAACATCACTTGTTAGGAGCAGAAAGCAAGAAGTCTTTGAGCTCAGCCAATAATTCCATTTATACAGTCCAGCACACAAGCCAAGAAGTTCATGGTGGGTCCTTGCACCTCAGTTAACTTAATTAATTTAGTCCTTCACAGATACTGGCAGAGGCTAGCCTAACATAGATTACCACTCACTGGCATGCCCAGGGACTTGTCTGTTAGACTATCCCAGATCCTTTCAAATGACAAGCAGTACCAAACATTGCAGTTACCTAATAAACTTCAGGTCTTTCTTGGTTGAACTCTGGTTTTCTGGTCCAGTCATCGATTAAGTCATTCTTGTATCTGCTAGCTGTGTAATTGTGGCATTTTATTTAATGTCTCTAAATCTTTGTGATCTTATTTGTCGATTGGAATCAATAATATAGAGTTTGATTGAATCTTGTATTAAAGGAGGAAACATAGCTTTACCATAGCTACTAGGACACCAAAAAGTAAACAGATATTTATTGATTCATGTGTTTAGTCACTCAGTTTATTTTCATATTAACTTCTGATGAGTCCACAGATGTCTTTGCCAGACCAATTCATGTTTAGAGATTCTATTACCACTAAATATGACACTTAAGTTGTAACACAACAACAGTAATTTATTGAATTTCTCATCACACAATACATTTCCTAGTTCATCTCATGTAATTCACATAAAATTCCTTAGGGGATGGTTCCATAATCACCTTTGTACAGATTTGAAAGCTAGTTCTCAATGGATAAAATAAGTTTTCAGACAGAGCAAAGCTCTCCAATAGGGAACTAGTGTTCCCTGGAAGGTTTAATTAATCCTCAAACTCTCTCTCATTACTACCATATGCACAGAGATCTTTAAGATAAAAAGTAAATGTTGATGTCTACATACAACTAATTTTGTAATATTTTCACTTTCTAGCTGTAAGTAAAGCTGCATGGAAAAATGTATTTGGGGAAATGATTGAAATAATCAGACTTTTATAACTTTTTATTGTTTATTTTTCTCCATTCTTTTTGTGACATACTGTTAAATTCTGCTTTTCATGAAGCATCTCATAAAGCCAGAATGTCATTATAATCTGTATTTGTAACACACACACACATGCACACACACACGTGTGCACATGCATCCAAGAGCATACAGTCAATCATATTATTAATTTATTCACTTATGTACTCACATAAATAATTCAACAAAGTGATGATTTTGAAATAATTAGTTTTGGGATTCTCACTAAAATTTAAAATGACATGAACATGGCAATTAAGATAGTTGTGTTTGATTATGCCAAGACACAGTAAAGTCAGTTAGCTTTGAAGTAATATAAACTTATCTCATCAAAACCAATATTTGACTTCAGCAACTCAAAACATACATTTATCTCATCAGGTTGTAATATCCTTAATAAGGGTTTTTATTATAAAGTGAAGGCATTTATTTGCTTTCTACAAGCTCAGTAGTTCAGGCTGACCGATTAGTTATTTTTACTTCTTAGAATAATATGGTTAAACGAGTACATGGTGATTTTGCTTTCCTTAAGTTGACATTAATTCTACCAAATTCTATTAGTGTTATTATCTTCTCTGAATTGTATTAACTTCCCAGTAGCATTTAATATCAAATATGATATAAGAAAGAACTTCCTACTAATATTTCCAACCTAATAAAGGGTTACAGAGATAAGAAAATTATCCTTAATTCTCCTTTTGGTGATAACATTGCAGTTATTGTAAATGTTTAACTTTATTTGTCAAACTTGTTCAATTAACAGGCATTCTTGGTGCAACCTTATTTGTGTGTTGGCTTATTTTTTTCTTTTTATTTTAAATTTTTATTTATTTTACATACCAACCATAGTTTCCCCTCTCTCCTTTCCTACCATTCCTCTCATCCTTTCCTACCTCCTATACCTCTTTTCTACCCCCATCCCAGCCACTCCACAGAAAGAATAAGTTCTCTCATGGAAAGTCAATGAAGCCTGGCATATCAAGTTGAGGCAGCACCAGGCTCCTCTCTACTGCATCAAGCTGAGTGAGATATTCCACCATCAGGAATAGATTCCAAAAAGCCAGCTCATGCACCAGACACAGGTCTTCATCCCACTGCTAGAGGCCCTACAAAGAGGCCAAGCTTCACAACTCTCACCTATATGCAAATGGCATAGATCAGGCCCAAACAGGATCTCCAGCTGTCGATCTAAAGTCCCTGACCTCCCACGAGCTAAGGTCAGCTGTCTCTGGGTTTTCCTATCATGATCTTCATCCTCCCCTTTGCTCATATAATCCCTCCTTTCTCTCTTCAGTCACACTCCCACAACTTGGCTTAGTGCTTAGCTGTGGAGCTCTACATCTACTTCCATCAGTTACTAGATGAAAGTTCAATGATGACAATTCGAGTAGTTACCAATCTGATTATAGGAGAAGTTTTCCACTATTGCTACGAATCTTAGTTTAGGTCATCCTTCCGGAGTCGAGGTTTCTCACTCATGCCATAATGGGCCTTTTACCAAGATGTCTCTTTCATCATTCTCCCTCTCCCTCACTCCTCCAACTTGATTATCCCGATCCTTCGTTTCAGTTGTTAAAGCACATTCAAAATATGATGACTGCTTACCCCATTCACTGAATTGCATAACCTGGTCTATGACTCCTAGCTAGACTGAAGCAATAGCTGTCTAATTAAGCTCTGTGATCAAATTCTTGCATCGTTACAATATGCTTTCCACAGTGTTATAATGAAAGGAAAATTAAATCTCATTATTTCTCTATTCCAGTCTCTCCAGGGTTTCCCATTCCACTTAAAATATAAACTTACTTTGGCCTTAAGAGGCCCCATGAAAACTGGGACTATTCTACATTGGCCAGCTTCTAATATTTCCTTTCTGTAAAAGTGCTGTATCCAATGTATTCTTATGTTTTTCATTCATCATAAGATTTCTCATAACCTCACATTAAAATAAAAAGAGATCCACACCAACTCCCCTTCTGTTCCAAAACTGGTTTGCTTTCCTTCATAATGAATACTGTGACTTAAAGTTATACAATTTATTTAGGGATCCCTACTTGAAATAAAATTGCAGAGACCTTGTTAATCATGTCAGCATTTGTAGCCCTCTAGTCAAGAATAGTATATGGTACCTATTTTGTGCTCAGAAATATTTTAGGAGCAGTTACAGGAGTGAGGACTGAATATAAATCAGAGTATGTTGATATATCTACACATTTTCAGGATGTGCTCTATCATCCACTTGCTACTTTGCTGTCCATGAGGCAACTTTTCACAGGAAAAAGTGAACAACAACCTGTTATGAATAAATGCTTTTCAAATTGTTGTCCTGAATATAATAAGGCATTACATGGAGTAAATACTGGCACATAGGCTGTAGGGTTCACCGTGTACCATCAACAGCCTTCTCTTGCAACAGAAGTATAGAAATAAGATATGGTTAGAGGCAAACAAGAATACAGGAATTAAAAATACTTTACTAATTCCTGGGTACTCATTAACACTATATTAAATCACTGAATAATCTATGAATTTATTTTTTAAGAAAATTTACATATGGATAATAATTATAAAAAATGGAATATGTTATCATTCCAAAGGTGCAGTTTCACATGTAAGTTCTACCTCTTACTGTTGACAGAGGTTCTGTTCCACCTGGTCCTACAGCTATTCACTGCAAAAGAAACACATGGAAACCTACATTAAATATAAACTAACTAATCTATTAACTCAGGATTCTTATTAACTGATTCTTACATCTAAATTAGTTCATAATTCTTGTCTCTGCTAGTCACATGGCTTGGTATCTTTTATCAGTGAGGCATTCTCATCTTGCTTCCTCTTGTTCTGAATGATGACTACAAACTGAGCCTTTTCTCTTCCCAGAATCCTCCTGTTCTAGTTGCCCCACCTATACTTTCTGCCTGCCTACTGGCCAATCAGCATTTTATTAAACTAATACAAGTGAAAAATCATTACCAAGTACAAGACCATTGTCCCACATCTTACTACCTGTGTTCAGACCATGTCTACTTTAGCTTTCTGAGTTTTAAAATAGAGATAATGTTTAATACCTTCTTATGCTATTGATATCATGAAGAATAGAATGAAGGTCTTTTGTGATAGTCAAGTAAAAGAATGTATGTTGGATAAGACATATAAATTACAAAGAATGAAAAATAATATTAATCCACTATAGCTATATAATTATGCATTCTCAGATGTTATAGTAGTCCTAGATAAACTATAATTACACATAAATAGAAAAGTTTCAAATTAGGGAAACAGACTTGTAATGTTCTCACACATTCAAAATTCTCCAAGAAGACCCTCATCATTTCCAGGTGTCTTTCCTGTACCTTGAGTTAAATATACCAAAACAATGAGATGCAATGACATTATAAGAAATAATGTCAGTTGAAATAAGCTAGTTATGAAATTATAATAACAGTACTGGATGTAAAATTTATTCTTTTATCATAAATACCTACTTAGACTGTAAAATGAAAGATATGTCCTTTTAACAAACTCCAAATACCGTTTATCTTCCTTGAGTGGGGGTGGGGAGTGTTTGGCCCCATAGTCAACTTCTCAAAACTGGAGAAGAAACATATTCACATTTCTGGAGGTAGATCTCATTATATCCACACTCATTTCTTACCCTTGTTGAGGTTGTCACTTCCCAGAATACAGCATTCGTCCCGGAGATTCTGCACTGAATCTGTAGGCTGACAGCAACAACTTGTTGTTCTGTGGCATGGCAATTCTCTTAGAGAGGTTCTGGGTGGCCCAGATGGTTCTGAGCTTGATATAGCCAGGATTCTTCTGTGATGTTTCATAGAGCATCTTGGCAGCATCAACCTCCTGCTTAGCCTGCACTATCTTCTCTTGCTGCTCCTACTTTGCATTTTCTACCAAAAATAGAGTCCACTGAGATTCCCTCTGTGCTACTTGCCTGGCTTCTATAGCAACTGGGCTAAAGCTCAGATCTGTGACAACGACATCATCCAGGATGAGTCTGAAGTCCTTGATGGGCTGTCAGCTCTTTTTGAATCAAGGGAGACACCTGGGCCTACTGGGTAATCAGCAGTGAAAAAGTAAACCTGGCCACCACACTCTTGAGCATCATGTTGACACATGTAGCACTCACTCCTAGTAGTCTAACCTAGACGTTGGTAGATGCTGAGGAGTTCTGGGTCAAAAACCACACACAGGGAAATGTTCACCATCTGCAGGTGTTTTGAGCCTGTAGTGGAGGAAATTATTTAGGGTCTTGCCCAAATGTCGTAAATGGTAGGGTACTAGAACCAGGAGACCATGAAGTGAAGGCCTTTGTCTGGGATTGTATCTTGCTACATGTAGCCATTCTCATTAAATAAGATGGTTCTGTGATCACCTCCCAAAGTGAAAAAGGATTCATGAACACCATATACCACAGCCCCCAGTAGCAACTGCCAATACCCGAGGCTTTGGGGACAGGCATAACACCATGTCCTTCAACTTCTGGGCCATGTCTTATCCTCCTGAAGTCTGTCGTACCAGAGATCAGGAGAAACTATTCTGTAAACGTGAACTTCAAGGACCATCATACTCTTCAAAAAAACCTACAGATTTTAAGTGAATTAAATTAATTGAATGAAATGGGTACACAAAAATGAGGATAACTATCTCTCTCTTTCAGCTCTGGGAAAAGATAAGGATTACATGGATGAATCTGAACATGCCAACTATGACCGATCTCGTCTCCTTAATGACTTTGTGATCAAAGATAAGCCTGAATCCAAGACAAAGTTATCTAAGGTAATTAAAACTGAGTTATCAATGTGTAATTTGTGCAATTAAATTTTAAAATATTTGAACATTAGTCTGTATGATTGGATTTGTGCTGAAAAATCTAAAAGGACATGTATGTAAATATGTATCTTAAAGGAACCAATCATGAAAAGCTACTTATTGACATAATTACTTGTATTACTAAGCAGCTATTTTATTATTGAACAGATCCAAAATGATACCTTTTAATTTATTCTTAATTTTAAACATATTTCATCTTTAATTAAAATATAATTGCAGTTTCCTCTCCATCCCCCAAACTCCCCCAATGTTACTTCATTTTCTTCTCTAATTTATGACCTCCTGTTTTTAAAAATTAATCTTCTTAAATACACAAAGATATGTATACTCATATAATGAGTATGTATATAAACAGGTCTTTCTGAGTCTATTTAGTGTTCTTTATATGTATAGGTTTATAAGGTTGACCACTTTGTATTGGATAATCAAAGGCCTCGTCCTTGAGAAAACTGATTGTTTCCCCTCCTAATTGTCATTAATTGACTATAGTCTTCATCTAGGGGTGGGATCCTGTGAGATTTCCTCCATTCACACTGGCATGACAAATAGTGTTTCTTTTTTGAAGTCTTGCTTAGGCAAATCATACAGTTCAGGTATCACAAACGTAGCTGCTCCTCATAACAAGGAAGATACAAACTTACAGCAGATTTTCTGGTCCCTGATTTCTACAGTTGTGCTGTGCCCTCTTCTATGGTGTTCCCTGGGCCTTGAGTATGTATCAGTCTGGACTGTGAACCCCCGTCAGTTCTTCTCTACACTTTGATCAACTGTGAATTTTTTTAACGGTTTCTGTCTGCTAAAGAAAGATTTTTGATAAGGGATGTGAGCTACACTTAGCTGTTTAACAATCCCTGTTAAATTGTGGCACTGTACATGTCAAACATAACTATTTAAACACCAAATATAAATAATGAAGCTGTCCATACCTCTTTTTGGATATTAGTTCTTCATTTTTTGTTTTTCACTTTGAAGCTAGCATATGAATATAGTTTTATACTATAAAACATAATATAATTTGAATCCTGGTTTCACTCTTTATTAGATCTAGTGATCTGGACATATTTGTTATACAGACCTTATTCTTCCTATCTGTAAGTTTGAACATACTGCCTGATTGACAAAAAACATGAGATGACTTTGTGAAAATGTCTAGGGCATACCAAAGACTGTGTACAATCCAGAATTTTATAGCAACTTGAAGGGTTGAGAATGTAGCATTGAAATCCTATTTTACAAACAAATAAATTAATAAAATACAATTCAGTTTTAAACCTCTTTAGTTCATTGGGCCCACTATTCCTCAAATTCAATGCATTTGCAGACTTTTTAAGGCATCTGAATGAGACATTCCCAAACCAAATTGTTGATGGTTGTTTTTATCATAGTAACTACAACTGACTTGTGTCTCCTCCTTGATGCTAAGACAAATACTAACTCAGAACAAGTTCATCTGCCCCCTTTGATTATTTTCCTTATTGTAGTTGCAACTGATTTATGTCTCCTTGTTTTTTACCAATTCTAATTGTTCTTAATAAATACCCAGAGTCAGATATTAGTGCGTGAAAGCTGAGAGATCAGAGAAGCAGAGCAGCCAGTCACCAGAGAGACTTTTACTTCTCCCAATGCTTAGAAGAAAGGGGTGATCCTGTCCTTAGCTTGCCTCCTCAAACTGCATCCTCTGAATGCATCTCCAGACTGCACTAAGCGTCTGTCTTCTCTCACCTGTATTCCTCTCTCAACCAAACCACATCACTCCTGTCTCCACATCACTAGTGCTGAGATTAAAGCTTTGGGAACTCAAGTGATGGGATCACCTTTGTGTGAACTCTTTTATAGACTGGATCAATTTTGAATAGCTCAGGGTAGCCTTGAACTAACAGAGATCTGTGTGCTTCTGTCTCCTGAGTTTTAGGATTAAGGGTGTGTGCCACCACTGCTTGGCCTATAGTGACTTAACTCTGCACTCTGAACTTCAGGCAAGCTTTATTTCTTAATATACAAACAAAATATCACTACTATTCCTTTTTTCTCTAAAATGAAAAAGAAGGCTATAAATAATATATGAAAAAAATATATTCAAAAATACAATATGTATATACAATGTATACAGACAATATAACATTAACAGTATCTAGTCCATTTGCATTTGACAAATTTAGAGAAAATACTCCATTATCTATCCTAACTTGTTGAGTCCATAGTCTTGTACCTAATTTACTTTCTATTATAATTTGCATTGCCATCCAAAACTATTGTTTGATGTCTTTCAACCCTATGTACTTTACAACATTTTAGTGAGTTTCTTTTCTGTATCTGGTAACCAAGGAAAGCTATAACTGTATCTATCTAGTCTTCAACTCACTCACACCTGAGAGGGAAATAATATTAACTGAGTAAGCAGGAAGTTTGAACAAGCAACTTCCAAAAATGTGAGAAATGACAAAAAACAAAACAAAACAAACAAATAAACAAACAAAAAACCTGACTGCCTGGATAGTCACCCAAGGTTCCTCTGCAACATTGGAATATTCATCTTTAGTCTACAGGCCTGGAATAATTGACAGACTTTTCTGTGAAGTAGGAATTTTGAAACACTATCTCACTTGATAAGATTTAGTAGTCACTCTCTTTTGTGTCCTGCTTCTCCAATTTGGATAGCATACTGTTAGTAATCAAGGTAAAAGCACTTTCTTGCCCAATGGCATACTTTGGCCACAAAGAAAGTAAACTCCGTGTGGAGTTTGTTTGATGCTCATTATCTTCTCTGAAGTATCTTGCTGCTACCAGGAGGAGAAAAGTCTCATTATCATAAAAAAGAACCCATGCTATTAAAACATCTTAAATGTCTCACATTGTGTGCCAGATATTGCATAATTTCTAATTGTTCTTAATAAAAACCAAGAGTCAGATATTAGGGGGTAAAATGTGATCGATCAGAGAATCAGAGTGGCCAGTTACTAGAGACATTGTAAATCTTTCAATGCTCAGAACAAAGAGTGAGCCAGTCCTCACACTGGCTCCTCAGAGACTGATCTCTGCACTCTGATATTCAGACAATATCTTATTAAATACTTATTAAAATACAAACAAAATATCACTGTATCTCCTCCCTGATGCTCAGATAAATATTGTCTCAGAAGAAGGTCAACCCTCTTCTTTTGATAAAGTGGGGTGGCTTCTAGATGAGATGAGGAGGAATGAAGGAAAGGAAGGAACGAGGAAAGAGGAGAGAGAGAAAGGGAAGGGAAGAAAGGAATCTGAATATTTACTTTAGTTCAAGAAATTATTTAAGTTTCAATAGTTCCTGCATAGATATTACTCATGTCTTTGAACATAATTTTCTTTATGATGTTTAGTTTATTTAGAATAAATTTATCTTTATCAGTCACTACTAAGGCACTTATAAAAATATAGCAGAATTTAAATATGACCACCATATTGGTAATGAGAACAAACTTTAGTAAATATATTCCAAGTTTATTACTTTTGCAAAATTTTTTCATTAATGTTTGTATGGGATTTTTAACATATTTTCTTTAATTGGTTGAACAAGTATGATTTCTTTACTGTATAACTCAAGTACTTCTTTGTATCAGATAAAGATTATTTGAAGTGAATTGAGAAGAGCTATAAGAGAAATCCAATGTTCCTCAATAAGTTTTTGTCATCTACTGAAAGACAGAGTGTACATTGAGTAATTGGAAAAATGATTTTAAATTCAACCTGAATTTTCTGACTTTCTATGATTTACCACATGACTAACAGTCAATTAATCACTTAATTTGCTCACAGTAGTCATGTCCTAAGTAAATTTTTACTGGGCTTGAACCTTAGAATGATACAGTTAAAATAATTAGTAAAACTGGAGTATAATTTTTTGAGTATCAGACAAGATAATAGAATAAGTTCAATAAAAGAAATAAAAAAGTTTAGTCACTAAAATCTTATTCAAATGTGCTTTTCAATTTATGTGATTGCCCGCTTCCAATTCTTACTCTACTATGAGAACAACCTCCAGAAGATTAGGTAACTCATATCTTCAGCTAACAAGGGATGTTTACTTTGTACATTGCATAGGTGATAATGAAGCATGAATTCTTTTTGTAAAAGATTTCAATTGCATGAAAGAAAAGTAATGCAGAAGATTTTTAAAGGATATAATAATCTGCCTAGAAGATAATATATATATAGAAGATTATATATATATATATATATTATGGGACAATTGTCTATGTTATGTCAATTATGTTTTAAATAAATGCTGATTGACCAGTAGCCAGGCAGGAAGTAGGCAGAACAACCAGACAGGAAGTAGAGGTGAGTCAATGAGAACAGGAGAATTCTGGAAAGAGGCAAACCCTCTCTGCAGTCCTGTCCAGACACAGAAGAAGGAAGATGTGACTATGCCGCTGAAAAAGGTACTGAGCCATGTGGCTAACACAGATAAGAATAATGGGCTTATGTAAGTTCTAAGAGTTAATAAGAAGCCTGAGCTAATGGGCCATTTGGTTTATCATTAATATAGACCTCTGTGTGATTTCTTTGGGGCTAAATGGCTGCAGGGACCAGGCAGCACAGGGAACCAGGCAGGACAGAAAACTCAGACAGCACACATACACACACACACACACACACACACATAAACATAAATAAATGACCTAAATTTGCTATATTTGCACCATTATCTGGGTGCTATGTTTTATAAATCTGCTGTTTTTCTTCTCACAATACTCCTAAATGATAACTTATGTATATAAAATATGCATGATGTCTTCAATCTATAATTTCAGAATCCTGGAGCCGGAGTTAGCAAAATTGTTAAAAGTTTGAAGTCAGACCATTGTTCAGAGCCCACACTGCAACATTGCAAGGTTAAAAAAGAAACAAAGAAAAAGAATATGTGATATAGATATGGAGATAGGTAGACAGACAGACAGACATATGGA